CCGCTAGCTCAGCTGGTAAAGAGGACAATTGGGAGAGGGGGCGCGAAAGCTCGCCGTCACCAATTAAAACAAGGCCAAAACTCAGAGAGGCTAGCACCGCTAGCTCAGTCCAACAGTCTATGAGGTTGGAGAAAATGACCGGGAGAGGGTGAGAAAAATGCTAGCCTTCACCAATGAAAACAAGGCCAGGAACTCAGCTGGCTACGTAAGAAGCAAACTTCGGAGCACAGCCAACCGACCACGCGGTTGGAGGCCTCTAGTAAACAGGAGCTGAGCGAACTCTACTGCTAACCAATAGCAAAATATAAGCAAAAAAAAACCACTACTCACCAGTGTTGAATCACACACATAGTACCCAGACGCTGTAAGTTGGGAGAGGCGGAAACCGCCTTAGTCCCCAACGAATTAGCAGAAAATACCTTTGAACAGAGTTAAACCGTCGCAGTCCCTAGGAGAGCGAATACGCTACTCCCGCCGACGGGCAGTCGGGCTTCCAACGACGGTAAAAAGTAAAAAAAAAAGGTCCAAAGGTCTGAAGCCCTGAATTGAACTGCGCGCGAGAAGAAAAAAGGAGCAGCTATATAGCTATATTTCAGTCATTTCCTTTGATTTCAACTCTTAATATTTTCAATGTTATTTTCTTCACATTAGATGGCAAAAAATCATAGTATACTGAGTGTAGCTGAATGCCTTTTACAAAGCTTAAGTACATATTTGTTACTGTAATTCTTACCTTGTGCTGGCACAAGAGCCCGTGGTCTTCTGGCGTGTGCTCCGCCGAAAACTGGGGAGCTCTGCTGGAGGAGACTCGCTGCGCTTCTTTGGGGATTTCCTCAAACCTAAAAACAGCATGAGGATAACGATATAAACATACTTTGGGCTAACACAACTATGAAATGTGACTTAACTTTTTTTGTGTTTTATCTACCTGGATGATTGAGCTTACAAACCTTTTTTTTTTATGTCTAAGCTTAGGTTTTAAAAAACATGTTTAATGAACAGCTAGACAGTGACAGTTTTTGCTTATAGTTGCAAAAAAAATCCTCTTGATCAATAAAGTTAATATAAAAGTGAATGATGCTAAGGACTATGTAATACTACTTTTTAATGCAGCAAAAGACTGGCTGTGCCCTCTCAGAGCCTTGTACCACCAGCCAGATGGGTTATTAATAGCAGCAAGACCACGGCTCTATGAAGGGACAACCTTCATGCTAGATCAGTGACTCATAATTCAGTACTATAAAAAATACTAAAAAACTTGAAAACCAAAATAATAATCAGTGACTTTAGTGCCTTTGCCTTTTCAGTTTTGTTACTTTCTGCAGAATTGCATGCAATAAAACATTTAACACATTTTAGTAAAATTTTCCTCAAGACTGTAAACTACCGGTAAGTATCTTTGTGATAAAAACTTAATAATGTGTAGTCTACAACAATAATATAAGTATCACAAGGACATTAAGCTTTTAAAAGGTGTTTTTTAGATCAGTTAAAGCATTACTCACCAAAAAAGATTAAATTGACAGAATTTAAGATACAGGTTCTGTGATTAAGACAATCCAAGAATGAAGTAATTTTTGTTCTAGGAGAAGCAGTGTGCAAGTCCTTTCCTACCCTTAACCAAACCTCTGGTCAGCTGGTGAGGCAACACGTGAAAGCCAACTTGGGAGGAGTCTTCATTTGGGCCAGAGCCCATGACATAGAGCCCACTTGAGGTACTATCCTTCCACTCACCTAGAGCAGCCGGACAGACCCCAAACTAAATCAAGAATTTTCTGAGTCTTATCGCTTATAGAAGTTCATAACATTGTGCAACTGACTGGTTGAAATGCTTTCCCAGTTGATTTCGAGCTGTGCAAATTGTTAATACGAATCCTGGCAAAAACAGTAAGGTGTTAACAGGCTTTCCCTTTTCAGCATTACATGCACAATAAATTATTTCAACTATAACAAATGATCATGCTCTATGGTAACCATTTCAACAATTATTTAACATAACAATTTTAAAATCCAAAAATGAATAAACTGGTTCAGTGCCGCTGGGTGTTGCTTTTGTTGTTTTAATCCAATGACTACAAGAATGTTTTTTCTTCTTTAAGGCTTTTGTAGGTGACATGAGAAAAGACAGCTCTAAAGACATGCAAATGTATTCCCAACCCATAATTCCCCAAGTCATCTGACATTTTTGTTTACTGATGCTAAATGATTTAAAAAATAAAATAAAGAATGGGTGTGTTTTTCATTGCAATAGAGGGCTCTACCCTAAATGTCAAATACATGCATTAACTAGGAATTAGATTATAAGCTCAAAATATGATGCCAGGGGGAAAAAAAACGTTACTGCCCAAATCCCCCTATAAATAAAAGACAATGCATTACAGCTCAATAACCTAATCAACACGATGATTAAAATTCTACCAACTCCTAATGACAATGTCATAAAAACCAGAAAAAGGGATTTTTTTTAATCTGTCAAATAATGAAACTAATGATTCTTGAAGGACTGCACACCATTTGACACATTATACACCGCCTGTAGGGGTGCAAAAAAAAAAGATTTTTTAAAGAATATGGATTCTTAGTGGGCAGCATGGTGGCGCAACTGGTAGAGCTGCTGCCTCTCAGCGAGCAGGTCCTTGGTTCAAACCCCGGTCCAGGGGCCTTTCTGGGTGGAGTTTGCATGTTCTCTCTGTGCATGCATGGGTTTTCTCCGGGTACTCCGGTTTCCTCCCACAGATCAAAAACATGCATGTTAGGCTGATTGGTAACTCTAAATTGTCCCTAGGTGTGAGTGAGAGAGTGAATGGTTGTTTGTCTCGTTTGTCTCTATGTGTCCCTGTGATGGACTTGCGACCCGTCCAGGGTGTACCCCGCCCCTCGCACAGTGATTGCTGGACATGGGCACAGGTGACCCCCGTGACCCAAAATGGAATAAGCGGGTAAAGATAATGGATGGATGGATTATTAGTCCTGGCGATTCTGAATAGATTATAAAGGCCCAGAAATCAATTTTAAAATGCGTTTTATTTTTTAAGGCTTTTTTCCCACTCCTACTCCTGAGCGTACTGCATATTCGAATTACGTGTTCACTTGGCCGCCATAGAATTAGGCCGTGTAGGCCACCGTACAGCAAGCTAGTTAGTTAGCCAGCTCCTTTTATCTGAATGGAGCCTGCTAGCATGGAGGAGGACAGCATGATTCAACCTGCTCCATGGTCTTTAAAAATAATTTCAGATCCTACAATGTTCCAGGGGAAGACAGAGCTTAACAAGAGCATGGTTGCTTACAAGAAGTGTAAAATAAAATTGCGGTACAGTATTTTGGAAATACGATAAAATGTGCGGCAGATGAAAGTGAAACAGCTGACCAGCGAACTCTGCAACAAACTTTCAGTCTTCCCCAAAGGTTGGGAAGATTTCCCACTCCATCTCCTGCTACTGTATATCACAAAGGATTTACAAGCAGACAGCTCAGTGGAAGGCGAGGGGTAGGAATGTACGATATGGCATAAAATTCATATCACGATATGTATTGTGAAGGGTGGCGATAACGATATATATCACGATATGTTTTTGGTATAAAACTTGCAATAGGAATTTAAAAAATATCATAGGGTGTCCTTTTGCCATCACATATTTTGAATTAAAAAAATTCCACTACTAGGTCCAGAGTTTTTAAATAATAAACAAATCAAGTATTAGGCTTCTTTCTTGTGGTGCAAAATGGTAAATGGACTGTACTTATATAGTGCCTTTCTATCTTATTTCAAGATACTCAAAGCTCTTTACACTACAATCTGTGTCCTCATTTACCCATTCATACAGCACTCTACTAGATCTCTACAACGCTAATAGAACAAATCATTCTAAAGAGACTAATCAGAGCTTTATCACCTTCAAACCCTGATGGGACACACCTCAGAGGCAATTAGGGGTTCAGTGTCTTACCCAGGAACACTTCGGCATGTGACTGCTGGTGGATTCGAACCCCCAACTCTCGCATTGGAGGACGACTGCTCTAACCACTCAGCCACAGCCACCCCAAAACAGTGCAAAAGATATCAAATGTAGTTTTAGCCATATGCTTTAAACTAAAGAATATGCTGTTAACTCTTAACAGTTTCCAGTATTCTCACTTAAGAAAAGAACAGCAACAGAGCAGCAAGCGTACGCTGAAACGCTTCACCCTCCAACCCTCTAGTGGGCGTCTCCTTCTGCTTTAATGGAGAGCTGACACAAAATGAATCTGTGGCTTTGACCAGAGGGTCTCGCAATAAAATCACACAACACAGCGTTCTTTTCACAGAACAGAGAGCAGGTTGCTCTAAAGCTGCACTTACTTTAACTTTCAACAGAAAAAAAATATATATAAATAATTTAGACAGAACACAGCGTTTTGCACATGCGTCCGAATACGGCAACAATACGACAAGACAAGTCGGCCGTAGTTAGCTTGTAGCTTCGCTTAGCTCTCGAAGAAAGGACTAACGCCACTTGCGCACAGTTTTCAACTAAAAAAAGCAACGATTAAACTGACAACTCTGATTTTACATCAGACACAGCATTACTGTGGTTAGCCGGTATAAGACAGATCTATATCGTAGACTAAATTTCTATCGTTTCTACCGTATATATCGCGCATTCCTAACAAGGGGTTTAGTTTTATTTTTAATACGCTGGACCCAACCCATGTTATTCCTTCACGTAGATTTAAAAAAAAAATTTTGTGATAAAGCAGCACCACAACTTCAACATGAAACAAGGATTGGGAGAAGCTCTGATGCAGCTGCAGCTCAAAGGTAACTTTTTTCATCATATTATACTAAAACTTATAGACAAGTTATACAACAAACTTAATGTAATTTGTTTATATTATTTTTATAAGTCTATATATTTCATATTAGGCTAAGTTTTGAAAATACAACAAATGTTAGAGCAATATGATTAAAAAAAGCTGTGAAGTATGTATTTTATTTTGAGTTAAAGGTCAATATGCTATGGTCGGCTGAAGTCTGTTTACTTTTGTATTTATATATTTGAATTATTTGTCTGTGATAGACTTGAGATCTGTCCATGTGTCCCTCACCTCTCACACAGTGATAGCTGGATATGGGCACCACTGAACCCCGTGACTCGTAAAAGAAGAAGTGGGTAAAAATGATGGATGAATTATTTGTTCCTAGATTTTAATTTTATTTACTTTTTTTTTTTTTTGAAAAATCCAGGCAACTAAGCTAAACTAATACTAGTAATTTAAGTTACAGAATTGTATGCACTCCTATATTTTTTCCTATTGTTGGTATAAATATAAAATGATTCAAAAAGATTTGATACAGCAAAGAACCTAAAATTATTGTTTTAAATAAATGTTGTATTTGTTTTCATTGTTGTTTATTCTTTTCAGCTTGTCAGTTACATAATTGAAATAAAATTTATGACCATTTCAATAGAAAAATCGTTTCTGGATTAGAAAAAAAAAATAAAAAATAAAAATCGATTATGAATCGAATTGTGACACCAAAAATTGGAATTGAATCGAAATACACAGAGATTCGCACTCCTAACTGCCTGGCCAGAAAAAGTTGTCACCTGGATTTAACTAAGCAAATAGGTACGAGCCTCCTATTTGATAATTACTACATGGATGATTATCTTTCAGCTGGCAACAAGTTATTTAACACAACTGGTGCAATGAGTTGCTTCTCATTTCTTAAACGATCATGTTGAAAGACACATTTTTTCATTTAGCCTTTATCCAGCTAGTCTCATTGAGCCACGAGAACTCATTTTCAAGAGAGACCTGTTTAGGGAGCAGATGGGGGGTTAAGGGCCTTGCTCAT